AACTCTTCTGGGGAGATCAGTCATCCTCGATCGTCAAAAGGAACTGTCTCCATGGTGCATTTATTGACTCTAAACATCTGGGTGGGGGTTGTTTCCACCTTGTCTTTTTCTTGCTTTTAAAAACCAAGTGTCTCTCCAGCGCAGTTTGCAGAGTGGATATAAATTTTATCCCCCACCCCATTTTTATTGCTTCTGTGGGATTATCATGTAAACATTCCCCGGAATCCCAACGCTGCTTACTGTGAGCTCAAAGTAGAGGTCTGTGAGCAGACTGCATGTTACCGACAGGTTGGAAAATGCAGTGTTTAGAGTTTCCATTGAAACTCAACATAAGAGAACTCTATGCTGGGACCCACATGTGCTCATTTAGTGTGTATCATCATCCTAATCCTGCCATGCCTCCCAGAACCGGGAGAGCTTGAATTCCTGCCTGACAAAAGGGGAAGTGAAGGGACCCCAAAATGCACTGTTCTCACACCATGTTGGAGTCACGATTAATGTGTTTATCTCGGGCAAACTGTGCTGAACAAGGCCAATTTGGCTTTCACACTAGCAAGGGGCTGAGGCCCGTGAGTGAGGGGGCAGCTGTCTTCTGGATATAGACAAAGAACTGACCTACAAAGAGAGTCGCATCCTAAAGGTTGACTGTCAGACTGTCAATTAGCGGGCAACAGGGCAGGGGCAGAGGTGGACTGTCTGTTGGGAGGACAGGAGAGAGTGTGGGTGGCGTGACGGTGGCCTGGAAGAGGAGCAGTTTAGAGCCCTGCATCCTGTCTGTCCTCCCTCTCTTGGCAGAGAGAGCTTTATCCCACATAGTGATTGGCTAGGCATGCCATGCACCTCGTTTTCCATGTGATTGAACCTAGCCAATCACAATTTACTGCTTCATTGAACCACTACTTGGTTCTGGGCGAGGTTGCTGGGCCAATCAAAGCCCTTGCATGACTGGGGATGACTCTAGGGAGAGAGGCTCATTTTGATGAATGTGTCAAGTCTATGGTGCTTGCCTCTGAGTGTGTGTGTGTGAGGTGGGGAGGTATTCAGCTAAGAAACACAGAAAAATGAATTCCTGAGACCAAGGACACAAGACAGAGTTCTCATGTCTTAAAGGAAGTTTATTATTCAAGAAGGTTTGAGTTTGCTCTGAACCTTCTAGTTTTATGGGTCATTATTCCTCTTTCCCTACTTTTTAGATATCAAGACCAGGAATTTGTAGCCTAAGGCATCTTAAATAATATAAAGAGTGGACTGTCAATCATTTACCTAGACTCTGGTGGGGAAAAAATTCAGACAGGCTTTGAGATAAATGAGAAATATGTTCTTGGAATGGTGTCACACACTGTTACCTTTCAGCACTCAGGAGAAAGAGGCAGGCAGATGTCTGTGAGTTCAAGGCCAGCCTGGTCTACACAGTTGGCAGGGGGTAAACAAGGTAGAGAGGGAGACTGCCTTTGTGCTATGTTGAAGAAAGCCTTTTTGAGTGGCAGGAAGGAATCTTTCATGAGGTCAGAGGTCAGCAGGGGTAAAGGCTATAACATGGCTGTCACCTGGCAAGCTGGGAATAAGAGCTAGACAGAGAGATAGGCAGCACATGGCCTGTGAGGTCTGAAGGGTAAAGGAGGGGAGTGAAGAGTGCTGTACCTGGAGGGGAGACCATGGGGACAAAGGAATCCCATGGGGTGGAGTCTGCATGGAGCTTGAAGGGACAGCACACAGGACTCAGAGCTCTGGGTGAGGGAAGTGAAGGCTTTAGAAATTAAACTGAGTATTTCTGATGGGGCTCAGGGGAGAAGTGAGTGGACCACCAGTGCAAATGTGGCTTAAGAAGTTAGGAGTCAAACAAATGTGCTCTGGACTGTCTTCCTACGGAGGGTAGGGTCAGAGCTCCGCCTAGGATGAGCCCACGGGAGACTGGGAGGCTGGAGTTAGGGATGAGTGGATGAATGTAGGGTTTGGTTAGGCGTTATGATGGTTTGAGTGATAATGACATCATAGACTTGCATATTCTAATGCTTGGTCTTCACTTGGTGGAACTGTTTGGGAAGGATTAGGGAGTATGAACTTGTTGGAAGAGGTTTCAAAAACCCATGCCATTTCCAGTTGTCTCTCTTTCTCTGCTTCTTGGCTGTTGTCTCAACCTGTAGGTTTCTCCACTGCTACTCCAGACCATGCCTATCTGCCTACCTGCTGTCACTCTTCCTGCCATGATGGTCAAGGATGCTAACTCTCCGGAGCCATGTGCTTTCTTTTATAAGTTGCCTTGGCCATAGTGTGTTGTCTTGGCAATAGAAAAGTAATGAAGACAGATGTGTTGGTTATTTCTCCTCCTAGTCAGTGTGGGTAGATGGCAGATGGGAAGATGGATGAGTAGGTGGGTGGAGGATGGAGGGTGAATGGATAGGTCAGTTGTCTCTCCCCCTACCAAGTTGTGGAGGGGGAATGAGAAGGTGGATGGATGGAGTTTTTGGATAGATGATGGAGATATGGAGAGATACAATGATAAATGAAGGGACTGATGGGTAGGTAGATATATAGTGAATGCTTAGATGAGCATATATGCAAATGACTGGCATTTGCCAGCTAGTAGACATGGGCAACCCACTTTATCCTAGAGGAGAGGCAAACATGATCTAATGTAGATCTGCTTATTTACATATATCACCTTGGACAAATGCTTATGAAACCTTTCTGTACCTCAGTTTCCTCACTTGTAAAATGGAGAGGGTAGTGGCACTTCAACAAAAAAGATCATGCTCACCAAATACTTAGAGCAGTGCTCGGGAATGATAGGCAGCCATTGAGTGGAAAGTGTAGCATTATTAAGATTGATGTCATCATGGCACACCCCCATCCTTAGACAATAGCACACTTCAGGGAGACATCGATGTGGAGTTAAGCAAATGAGGGAAGGGTGGTAACCAGTAGCTTGTTCACTTTCCCTCAGGCTCAGGGGAGCTATGCTCAGTTCTCCCTTGAGTAGGTGTGGAAGATTGGTCAGCCATGTGTGCTCTTCCAGACACGGGCTTGTCAGATAGAATTTTGAGCAACTGAGATTATATACATCCCTGTGAAGAGATTACTGTCAGCTCAACTTGAACTGTCTCCAGCCCAGTGCCATTGTGTCTCAAAGGCTGGGGCTCATAGCTGCTCTTGACATGTGCACACCCTGTCCAGCCAAGGCATTCATTTATGTGGTGACATGGTCCATTCTTCCTCCCGCCCCCCAAGCCTGTCTATCAAATGGACTGCTCATATTAACTCATTCCCATTTGTTATAGTCATCTGGCTCTTCCTTCACAGCGTGTGATGCTTGGAGTCCCAAGGAAGCAGCTGGGGAGAAGTGACAGCACTCCCTGCTCAGCTCTTCAGCTGAGCCCACCTGGATTTTTCTCTCCCTCTGGCCTGCCCCACCCAAGAACCTCTTCATCCACCAGCTGCAGGCCCCTCAGCCTCCTCCCTGCCACCGTCTCTATTGTCCCAACTGCAGCAAAGGGAACTTTCTAAAATTGGCATCTGATTATCCTGCACCACATCCACACTCTGGGGAGACTCAGACTCCTGGCCAGTATCACCCCAAATCCATGATGCTTTCTCCAACACCATCAGCTGGGACCACTGGACCCACGCCCGCCTCTGCAGCCCATCCCAAGAATCTCCATCCTTGCCTCTTTGTTTCTAGGTGTCCTCCCTGGTTCCTGCCATGCTTCCCCTCTCTCCTGAACCCACCTCCCCCCCTTGCCCAAAGTGACTTCTGGTTTTCTTTTTGTGTCAGCAAGGCTCAGGCTGACTCAGCCAGGTCACACTGACTTGGGCCATGTTGTAACATGTTGCCTCAGCTCTGAACACCACCACCCTTTTAAGAGGAATGTTTCAAAATGGTTTTTGTGGTTCCTAAGTGTGGGTAAGAATGTTTATACTTTGACTTCCTTGGTAGAGCTTGCCTAATGTGCATGAGACCCTGAATTTAATCCCTAGAACTACTTAAAACAGTGTGCTGTGCACACTCATAATTCCCACACTCCAGAGGCAGGAGGACAGATAATTCAAAGTCATCCTTGGCTTAACCTCGAATTTGAGGCCAGCCTTGGCTACATGAGACTCTGTCTCAAAGTAAACACACAAACCTCCATTTCCGACTCCCACAATCACATTCCCGGTGATACCACGATAGCTGTGTTTTTTAAATCAAAGCTTCATGCTTAAGGAGATAAATTCCCTCTCTACTTCCTTAGTTAGCAGATTCAGGGTTTGGGCCTGATGCAGTCAGGATAAAAGATTGCATTTTCAAGCCTCCCCTTGCTCATAGCTGGAGTATGACCTCATGATCAAAGTTGGAGAGAAGGCAACATCATGTGTCATGTCTGTCTGTCAAATCCTAAGATGTGATAGGGGCTCATGCCTCCTTTTCCACCTTTCTTCTGGCCCTGGTCTGATGGCTGGAATTTCAACTTCTATTTTAGATCATAAAGATAAATGCCACATTCCAAAGATTGTATGGGAGTCCCTAGGTAGAAGAGGTGGAAAGATTGTAGGAGCCAGAGGATGGAAGGCAGCAGGGGAACACAGCCCACTGCATCAACTAAGCAGGGCTCATTCGGGCTCACAGATTGGAGCAGCAAGCACAGGGCCTGCATGTGTCTGTTGTAGCTGTTAGCTTGGTGTATTGTGGGACTCCTAACAGTGGGAACGGGCTTGTCCTTGACTCCTTTGCCTGTTCTTTGGGACTCTTCTCCTCCTGTTGGATTGCCTTGTCCAACCTCAGTATGAGGGCTTTGTCTTTGTCTTACTGTATTTTGTTTCATCATGTTTGGTTGCTGTCTCTTGGAGGCCTGCTCTTTTCTGAAGGAAGACAGAAAGGGGATGGGTTTGGGGGAGAGGGAAGGTTGGGGGGAGCTGGAAGGAGTGGAGGGAGGGGAAAGTGGTCTGAATTATTGTATGAGAGAAGAATCTATTTTCAATAAATAAAACAAGCAACAAAAAGAAATAATTGGAATTTCAACTTCTTTTAAAGTTTTATTTATTTATTTTTAAGAAAATAAAACTTCACTTTAATAGGGAATGAGGAAGGATGTCCCGACAGGAATGGGCGAAGGTGTCAGAAGCATAGCCCGTTGCGGGTTAAATCTGCTTGTGCCTCCAGGATCTGGCTCTGCAGCTCTCGGACTGCGTCTTCGCAGTCGTGAAATGTGGCCACACTATAGCCCACAATGCCCAGGGCATAGCAGCCAGCGGACACCAGCAGGTAGGCAGGCAGTGGCCATAGGACCTCCTGGCAGGGGAAAGACAGTTCCAGGTCCAGAGCTCCCATGGTCAGGGCAGCCCAGGCAGAGTCCAAGAGCCCCAGTCCCCAAAGCCACTGGGTTAACTTCAACATGGTCCCTCTGAATGTCTCGCTGACAAGCTAAAGTTTTATTTTTAGTGTTTCTATGAGCATATATAAGTTATACATAATAGTTGGTTTATTATATAATATATTTTGATCATTTTAAGCCCCCAACACCATCTCTTATCTCTTCCAACTCTTGTTCATATCCTTTCTCTTCTCAAATAGTTTTTTTAACTTCCATGTCTTTTGAAAAAATTACATTTATTTTATTTACTTCTCTGTGTATGGTAGTGTGGTGTTTGAATGAGAATGGCCCCGTAGGCATCATGTGTTTAAATGCTTAGTCTCCAGTTTTTAGAACTGTTTGGATGGGATTAGGATGTGTGGCCCTTGTTAGAGGAAGTTTGAACTAACCCTGGTGACAAGTCTTCAGCTTTCAAAAGACGCCTGTCACTCCTAGCATGTCCTCTCTCTTCTTTGCGGTTGTGTCTCAGATGGGAGTTTTCAGTCACTGCTCTGGCATCATGCCTGGACTGTTGCTATGTTCCTACCACGATGGTCATGGGTGCTAACCTTCTGAAACTGTAAGCCCTAGAAACAAATTCTTCTGTAAGTTCTTTGGTCGTCTTATCATAGCAGTTGAATAATAACTAAGACTCTGTGTGTGTGTGTGTGTGTGTGTGTGTGTGTGTGACAGCATGCATGTGAGGTCAGATGAAAACATGCTGGAGTTGGTTCTTTCCTTCCACCATGTGGGTCCTACAAATCCAAGCCATGTTGTCAGATTTGGTGACAAACACTCTAACTCACTCTGCCTCTCACTTTTCTTGTAAATCCAAAGAATTTCTTTAGGATTGTTTACAGGAGCCTAGACACAATACTGATGACTAGAACAGTGAGCAAAATGCCTCTGCTTCCTTGACAACCATTAACAGCTTGTGGTGACATTTTGTTGATGATCTAACAAATAAAGCTTGCCTGAAGATTACAGTGCAAAGCTAGTCACACTAGTTAACCATAGAGGCCAGGCAGTAGTGGCGCACACCTTTAATCCCAGCAGTCACACTAGTTAGGCATAGAGGCCAGGCAATGGTAGTACACATCTTTAATCCCAGTACTTGGGAGACTGGCAGACAGATCTCTGTTAATTCAATGCCACCTTGAACTACATGAAATTGATCCAGTCTAAAAGAGAAACAGAGCTCATACAAAGGTGATCTCAGCACTTGAGATCCCATGCTTTTAATCCCAGCACTAGAGAGGAATATGAGACAGGAGGGAGGAGATAGGAGCTCAGTTTGAGGTTTGGTGGAGACAGATGCAGTCTGGAAGTGCATTCTGAGGACAGGATCGCCCCTTCCGTCTGATCACGGGTAGAGGTGATAACTCTTTAAACTCTCTAGTGGCTGGCCGCTTTGCTTCTTTGATCTTCAGCTTGAACCCCAATATCTGTCTCTGAGTTTTTATTATTAAGACCAAATAGAATTCGTGCTGTGTCAGCCTATAGGTCCTCAGGGAGGGGTGGGGCCTGGAGAGCCCCACCTATTCCGTTACTTCCACTTCACAGAGTTTCTATGTTGTCTCAGACTGCTCTTTTAAGTGAGAGAATAACTTCGATCTTAAACTACTGATGTTTGGGCTTTTATTTTACACAACTTGATCTAATCTTGAGGAATCCACTATAAAAATAGCTAGGGAACTCTTGAATAAGGCTGTTAGGTGCCTGGGGCCTAGACTTCTGAGAAGCTGAACTAGAAAATGATGTCAAGGCAGTGGTGACGCTGAATGGTGGAGACTGTTGCCTAGCAACACATCCCCCAGGGATGCAGGGAAGTGTTTAGGTAATAGGTGATTGGTTCAGGTTCACACCTATGAGGAACAGCCCCAGAGAATGAAAACTCTAAGATGCTCTATAGCATAGGGATTATAGCAAAGTGGCAAAGAGGGCTGTGTTAGCTAGGGTTCCTTAGAGTCATAGAACTTACGGAATGAATCTCTCTCTCTCTCTTTCAATACATATATACAAACATACACACATAGATAAAGGGAATTTATTGCAGTGAATTACAGGCCTCAGTCCAGGTAATCCAACAATGGTTACATGTGAATGGAAAGTCCAAGAGTCTAGTAGTTTCTCAGTCCCACAAGGTGTCTCAATTGGTCTTCAGTATATGTTGGAATCCTGAAGAGGCAGTCTCCAAAGCTAGTGAAGGAATGGATGTGCAGACAAGGCAGGGGCAAGCAGGTGAAGAAGGATCAAACCCTTCCTTCTTCCACTGTCCTTACATAGGCTTCCTGCAGGAGGTGTGACCCAGAGTGAAGGTGTGTCTTCCACCTTAAGATCTGGATTAAAGGTGTGTTGTGTGCCTTCCCACCTCAAGAACCAGACCAAAAGCCCGTGTCTTCCAGGCTCAAGATCCAGATCACAAGTGTTCCCTCCATTTCTGGATTATAGCTCATTCCAGTTATGGCCACCAAGAATAGCCATCACAAGTGATTACTATATGAGCAAGGGATCTGACTTCAACCCCCTAGCACCATGTAAAAAAGTGGACGTGGCATTAATGCCTATAGCCTGGGTGCCGCGATGGATAGAGGACTTCTGGGGCTTGCTGGCTTCGGTGAGAGACCCTGACTCTAGGGAATAGACAGCGAATGATAGAGCAGGACACCTGACATCCTCCTCTGGCCTCTGTGTGCTCACACATACACAGAATTTCTGCCAAGTTCAGCAAGCATTTCCTAAGTTAGGCTGGGTTAGCAGGGGAACAGGGACAGAAGCATAGGGTATCACAACAGAGACTGGCAAACAGATGGCTGGACAATAAGGTTCATGGAAAACTAAGGAAAGAAACTGGCTGTGGTGATTGACACTCAGGAGACTGAGTCAGGATGTTTGCTATACGTTTGAGGCTAGCCTAATCTACAGAGTGAGTTCAAGGCTAGCCCAGACTAGAGAATGAGGCCCTGTCTCAACAAGCAAATAAATGACAACAACTACAAAAAGACAAGACAGAACAGAACAAAACAATTAAAGACAGTTCCCCTATAGGTGTGGTCTTCTCTTTAGAATTTCTGATTCCTCTATAGTTCCCAGGATTCTGGAAGAGTTGCTAGCACATAGTCAGTAACCAAATACATTCCTACTAAGTAAATGGATGGGAATGCTGGCCACAGACCAATTTTTAAATTGTTCCTAGCAAAAGAAAAAAAAAAGAAGGTGCACTGATTGAAAAACATTAAACTTCTTTCTATGCTTGAGACAAGATGACATTGGCACCGCTGGGTATAGGAAGCCCCTGGCAGGTATGACAGAGCAGGATGCCCTGACCTTTGGAGTGTAATGCCCTCTGTGGTGTGTCTGGAGTGGCCTCCACCCTCAAGACTCCTTCTGCAAGGGACTTATCTTCTCTGTGTCTCGGAGTCCCTTCTGCCCTTGTCCTTGTTCATGAAGCCTGCAGCTCCCACCAAGAGTCACCTTGGTAGACAAGCAAGGAGGAAGCCCTTCCTTTGCCTTTGAGCTCTGCCAAGGCAGGCGGGAAGGATGGCAGACAATCTAATAGAGGGCATAACCATGAGAAAAATAGGGGAGAAAAGTACAATTAAAGATAATTTTTAAAATTAGAAGGGCTCTTTCCAGCAGGAGAAAATAATCCAGCCATAGAATGGCAACAGTCAGTTGATGGGTGCCTGAGTTCCCTAGAGCCTTGTCTCCCGCAGCTCAACCAAGCTCCAGCATCTTTGCTCACCTCTAGTAGTGTTCCTTTCTTCTTGTAGCTTCGCAGGCTCCCAAAGACATGCTGTCTCCTGCCCAAAGGGCTGGAGTAAGCATCAGATTAGAAATATGTCTTAGCAGTGCGAAAGCCCCAGGGTTGCAGTGTGAAACAACACTAACCTGATTTGGGGTAATAGACTGAGATAGCAGGGTAGCTCCAAAGACCCCTGGGAATTGAAAGCAGTCTTTGTTCAAGGTCACCCTGCCTCCATCATTCCCAGAGTTTATACATATGTACATGCACACACACATACACACTTTACTCCTAAGAACCCATAATGATCCTCACAGATTTTAGAATCCAGATCCACAGCATGGAAGAAAATCCTAAATATATCCCTGCTGCCTGGAAAGAGGGCATAATATCATCCACTGTCCTGGCATCTATCCTAGCCAGGCAAGCTGACCCAGGACGATAGCCATAGCAAGGGAAATGGGTCATTGGCTTCACAGACAGCTAGAGCTCAGAGCTTCCCACTTTTCCCTGGGTGGAGCCCACAGCAACCAGGAAGGGGAAGGCTGGTGGCAGGGGTGGAGATCTATGGGACCTCAGGGAGATTTCACATGCAGTAAAGTTGACTTCAGTTCAGAATAAGCAAAGGCAATGGCGGGTACCTTCCTGCAGCTCCAGCATGACCACTCTGGGAGGAACAATCAATTTAATCCCCTCAACGAGGGAAGTTGTGGCTGCCCTGTCTCTTGTCCCCACTGTATAATGCAAGGTTAAAAACAGCAGCCAGCCAGCTCAGCAGGTAAAGGAACTTGCCACCAAGCCTGGTGACCCGAGTTTGATCCCCAGAACCCACATGGTAGAAGGAGAGACTTGATCCCCGTAAGCTGTCCTCTCATCTCCATGTGTGCCACGACCCACCACGTGCACACATGTCATTCACACATATATACAATAATAACATAATTTTAATTGCAGAAGAAAATAGCCCATATGCTTTTTTTCCCTCCTCACGAGTAAGCATTTTTTTAGTGTGGAAACCAGGCTACATAAAATTTAAACATTTTAAAAAGGGATGGGAAAATAGAGGTTCATATCATTGTCTGAGGTGACGTCAACATGGGCAGCTCTGAATATTGCAGGGGGTTGGCCCTTATGGGCTTCAGGGTTATAGAGTGTAAGTGTTGAGGAGGCCATGCCGATATCCTTGAGAGCAGATCTGCCAATCATGGCTGCCCTCTCATCTACAGGCTGCCCGGCTTTGGCATCCACTTTCCTGTGCTAAGCTGAGCCTGGCCAGCAAAGTCTGCCTGCAGGCAAGTA